AGGAAATAATGGTTTTTACTTGCATCCGTTAATTCATCTATTGATTCTACAAACACTTATTGGAAAGTTAATATTGGCAGGGCTGTGCTAAACACTGTATATACAGCAATGAAGCAAATGGACACAATCCTTGCCCCCGAAGAGCTTAAAGTCTGGTGACAAAGAAAGACCTCTAGTTTTTTTGTGGTTTTGTTTGTTTTTCTGGGAGAGTCTTGCTGTGTTACCCATGCTGGGGTACAGTGCTGTAATCATAGCTCACTGCAACCCCAAGTTCCTGGGCTCAAGCGATCTTGCCACTTCAGCCTCCCGAGTAGCTGGGAGAAGTTGGGACTACAGGCACACGCCCAGTTAACAAAAAAAAAAAAAAAAAAAAAAAAAAAAAAAAAAAAAATTGTGTAGAGAAAAGTTCTGATCCTCTGATCCTTTTGTAGCGCATGAGTGTGATGATTGGGTGTTCACGGGCATATGTGAGATGTGCCACCCTTGAACCTTGTTACAATGTTGGCACATTACCCTTCTGACATGAAGAAAAGAAAAAAAAGAGAAAAAAGGAGTCTTGGCCAGGCGTGGTGGCTCATGCCTGTAATCCCAGCACTTCGGGAGGCCAAGGCAGGTGGATCACCTGAGGTCAGGAGTTTGAGACCAGCCTGGACAACATGGCAAAACCCCATCTCTACAAAAACACAAAACAATATTAGCCAGGCATGACAGTGGGTGCCTGTAATCCCAGCTACTCAGGAGGCTGAGGCGGGAGAATGGCATGAACCTAGGAGGAGGAGCTTGCAGTGAGCCGAGATTGTACCACTGCACCCCAGCCTGGGTGACAGAGTGAGACTCTGTCTCAAAAAAAAGAAGAAAAGAAAAAGAAAAAAGGAGTCTCCCCATCTGGCTCAAATTGGTCTTGAACATCTGGGCTCAAGTGATCCTCTCGCCCCGGTCTCCCAAAGTGTTAGGATTACGGGGTGTGGGCTGCTGTGCCAGGCCCAGACTTTCATTTTTATATTTACGTACTTATTTAAAAGATCCTTGAATCATAAAGACCTTCCTCTTTTTTTTTTTTTTTGAAACAGAGTCTCGCTCTTGTCGCCCAGGCTGGAGTGCAATGGCGTGATCTCGGCTCACTGCAACCTCCGCCTCCTGGGTTCAAGTAATTCTCCTGCCTCAGCCTCACAAGTAGCTGGGATTACAAGTGTGCACCACCACGCCTGGCTAATTTTTGTATTTTTAGTAGAGACAGGTTTCACCATTTGGCCAGGCTGGTCTTGAACTCC